TGGAATGTCTACTTCAACGACCTTCTTCATCTCATCCCAGAATCACATGCATATGCAACGACTGTACACTGACATTCACTTATCCAAGAGAAGAAATGCCAGCTGCTCTAAGCTACATCAATCACCAGCTGAGAGCTATATCAGCTTGGGGAAATAGATGGCAAGTAACATTTGCACCTGAGAAAACGCAAATGATGATCGTCCCCTAGGCACCACGATGGTAATGCTGGTGCAGTAGTAAAGGGTGAATGGGAGGATGTTGGCACCTGGGGAAGGGAAATTGATATCCTTGGGGTGAAATTTGACTCCAAACTAACCATGAAGAACCATGTTGTAAATCTTGCAAACAAGGCAGCCAGGAAGCTTACAGCACTTCGCCGTATCTCCCATCTGCCTGACAGTAGGGGTTGCAAGATCCTGTACGAGGCACAAGTACGCTCACATCTTGAGTATGCTCCACTTTCTTGGTTTGCCTGCCCCCCCTCTCATCTGCGACTGCTTGACAGAGTAGAGAACAGAGCAAGACGTCTCATCTCTCGCCAGGACCCATCCTGGATAGATCTGTCATTTCAGCAGAGCCTTCGACATAGGAGGGATGTGGGTGGCCTTACTGTTATGTACAAGGCCAATATTGTCAAAATACCACACTTGGATCCACTTCGAGGACAGCGTGAAACAAGCTTTTATGCCACAAGACGGGCAGAAAGCAGCAACTTCACTCTGGCTGTACCCTTCTCCAGAACATCACTCCATTTGAGATCATACATACCCAGGATGACTCGAGTATGGAACACATTCGTACAGCATAATGATGTCAACGAGATAAAGTCAGTTGATCAAATGAAAATGCTGGCCCACAGATGGCTCCAACTTCATCCTGTTCCCTATTTGTATGTCTCATAACAATAAAAATGCTTTCAAATGAGCTGATGTAGGTAACAGCTCTTAGCTTGTCAATAAAGTCAGGAATCCTTAACCTGTAAATAGCTGTCAATAAAGCTAGGGATCCTTAACCTTGTCAAACCCTGTGTAAAAAAAAAAAAAAAAAGAAAAAAAAGAGAGGCGATGGCGTAAGACAACATGCAGGAAAAAAAACAATGTGCAACGTTTCATGTATAACCAGTCGAGCGAAACATCGTGATAAATGATTCACTACAAGCATAGTGTATTTTTCACTTATACACCACAGTCATCTGTGATAATTTTGGCAATATGTTAGGTAAAAATGGGGAAACGTGTGCACCAAGTGAAATAATTTATTGCTGCAGCGTTTCGTTCTCCAGGAGTTTTAGTTTGACAAAGCTTACGGAGAGCGAAACGTTGGCATATTGTAATTTCTCACAAGTTGCAAATGACTTATTCCACCCAACACTTGTCAGTTGTGTTATGTCTCTCATATTTGTGGACCGTCGAAGCCAGTTTATCGTGCTGTCATGCACGTTTCTTACCTTACCTTAGTAGCAAGACTTTACCTAAGAATCTAGCTTCGTTTACCATTTTTTTTCCAGTTCTGATAGCTACTGTGATGGTTCTGGCAGCCTCTTATCATAGTTGTGGAAGCCACTACTGTAAAAAAAAAAAAATACCTCGGGCTGGGTTAGAACCCGCGATCAGAGAGTCATAAAACTCCCGACCGACGCGCTAGCCACTGGACCAGCTACTGTAGTTTTAGCTGCAGCTACCGTAGTTCTTCCAACCGCTGTTATACTTCTGGCAGACCTTACCGTAGCTGCGGCAATCGCAGCCCTGGGAAGTAGGTCGAAATAGGAGACAAAAATAATAATTAAATCTACAGTCTGGATGCTTCTCAATGGGAGACATAAAGGTTAATTGAAATTACTGTCTGAAGCCTTTCCCAAATCCGATTAATTTTGCAAATTTTGGTTTCTATGTATTTCTTTTAAATACGAAAATCATGTGGTCATTTGGCGGAAGATGTGGAAATTGAACAAGGACCAACTCACTACCGAATTGTACTCAGTGATTTTTTTTTGTCCCTGGTATCAATTAAAGCCTGTTTTCCAGTGATAAGATAAGATAAGATAGGATTTCGTTCGGATTTTTAACCCCGGAGGGTTAGCCACCCAGGATAACCCAAGAAAGTCAGTGCGTCATCGAGGACTGTCTAACTTATTTCCACTGGGGTCCTTAATCTTGTCCCCCAGGATGCGACCCACACCAGTCGACTAACACCCAGGTACCTATTTGCTGCTAGGTGAACAGGACAACAGGTGTAAGGAAACGTGTCGAATGTTTCCACCCGCCGGGAATCGAACCCGGGCCCTCCGTGTGTGAAGCGGGAGCTTTAGCCACCAGGGCACCGGGCCCCAAGGTTTAATGCCAACAGCATTTGGTGTTCCCAGGCGGTCACCCATCCAAGTACTAACCAAACCCAACGTTGCTTAACTTCGCTGATCGGACGAGAAGCGGTGTGTTCAACGTGGTATGGCCGTTGACGGTAAAATTACGAATCCACACTTCATCTGATGCTACAGAATCAGCCTCTCTCATCTACTGTTTCATTTCCGTTGATATTGTTACAGTGATAAAGCTGTATAGTGCCATCGTAGCATGCCTACCTCCTTTCCTCAACTATCCTCTTTTTCACAGCTTTTTTTCTCTTTTTCTCAACCTTCATGTGAGGAGAGTAAGTTCTCTGGGAAGTAGTATTGCACACTGACTTTCAGCCTCCCAACTTCTATAGTGGCTATTACGTATGATTTTGGATTCTGTCTGTATGTCTCTCTCTCTCTCTCTCTCTCTCTCTCTCTCTCTCTCTCTCTCTCTCTCTCTCTGTCTCTGTCTGTCTCTCTCTATCTCTCTCTCTCTCTCTCTCTCTCTCTCTCCTCTCTCTCTCTCTCTCTCTCTCTCTCTCTCTCTCCATCTCTTTGTTCTGTCAGAGATTCTTTTCATTACAAACTGGGCTCGGTATTAGTTACCATTTGTCAAATAAACTTGTTAATAGACACCTGAACTTACTGTTTGTGTGTGTGCGCGCGCACGTGCGAGGGTAAATGTATATACGCACTTAAATAAATTTATGATAGGATAGCGAGTTAATCACTTTACCTGGAGTTTACCTGGAGAGAGTTCCGGGGGTCAACGCCCCAGCGGCCCGGTCTGTGACCAGGCCTCCTTAGGTCACCAATAAATTTCCCAGTGCAACCCAGGGAAGACATTGAAAACCTCCACCACAATTCTGAAACACTTTTGGAAAATATACGCTGTATAGCCCTTGTGGCTTAGCGCTTCTTTTTGATTATAATAATAATTTTGGAAAATATAATTCTAGCAGAGGAAATGTTATTTCTTTATAAAAAAAAAAAGGTGAAATAGAATGGGGAAAAAGTTACAATTTTAAGAATGTTAATCACTCAATCTCTAATTAGAACCCGTAATTAGTTTCAAAAGTAATGTAATTAGAGAGAGACGAGTTATCAAGAAAGGATAATGAAAATTGCAACAAAATGAACGTTCGTCTGTTACGTGTGTCGAATGGAAACAAAAAAGTATGGGAGCGTTGTAATTAGGTGAACTGAGCTAGAATGTGAGTCTAGGCTGACTGTTGCTCTAACTTGTATTCTAATTAAATGTTGTCACTTCTATTTTCACATTCATATCAACCACTCGGGGGCTTAGAATTAAATTAGGTCGAGGGCTATTGTATTCTAACTGAATTTGTATTTATTTTACTGCATATCAAGCCATATTGTATTATATATATATATATATATATATATATATATATATATTTATTTATATATATAAATATGGGCTATATACAAAAATTATAACAAGTCAAGATACCCAAAAAAAAGAAACAAAAAATACTTTCATCATTCAACACTTTAACCACACTCGCACATTATCACTGTTTTTGCAGAGGTGCTCAGAATACAACAGTTTAGAAGCATACACATGTAAAGATGTGTACGAATGGTATACAATACCGACAAGATGAGAGTAAGACACATGTGCAACATCTCATCTTGTCGGTATTGTATACCATTCGTACACAACTTGTCAGACACTGCAACATCATGGTATCTTAATTCTGAGGACATGTACATAACCTTCACGACTACGACAACTACTACTACAACTAACCCATCTCTTTGGGAAGGACCTACTTCCACTGGGGAATCCCGCCTACCAGTGAATATGCCCTCGTCTGCTACACCTGACGTTACTATATAAGCGCCAGGATTCTTTCTTCTGCTTCAGAATCTCCACGACTATGGTGCTGTTCGCACCTACTCCTAGGTTGAGGGACTGATTACCTCATCTTCTGTACATAGTTCTACTGTCTTCAAGTTATGTCCTAGAATTTGTATTGATAAAGCCACTGGATGGCGAAACGTCTACAATAAAGATACCCAGATGTTGCACATGTGTCTTACTCTCACATGTAAAGATACACAACATATCCCTCCAAACTGCCAATATCCCAAACCCCTCCTTTAAAGTGCAGGCATTGTACTTCCCATTTCCAGGACTCAAGTCCGACTATATGAAATATATATATATATATATTTATATATATTATAATATATATATATATATATATATATATATATATATATATATATATATATATATATATATTATATTTATTTATGGGGAAGGAGCGGATCCCCACCATGCTAGGGGTGTGTGGGGATGGTGCGCCCCATCATCATGTCGGAGCGTGTACTAAAGGGAGTATGGAAGCTGCCTGTGATGCTGGCTTTAATGGCCTCCACCTCTTTAACCTCTCGTCCCTCTCACTTTACCCACTTCCCTCAGTCTCTCTCTCTTTTTCTCTCTCTGTTCTTTATCCATCTGCATGCCTTTGTCTATTTGCTAATTAGATTCACTACGTCTTCCTTCCGATTTTTGTTGTTTACCCCTTCTGTTCTTGTCTTCATTCAGCGCTGAATGAGACGCCCGAGATTTACGCTTTCCCCTGAATATAGTAATCTTTAACTGCCGGCTATTACTGACCTCCTCCTCCTCGGCAGGTGATGGACGAGAGGTGGGAGGAAGATGTGAAGGAGTTTGGGGCTGTGAACATCACCGGGTTTAGAATCGTCGACACCACGCGCCCCTACATCAGGGAGTTTTTGAGAACCTGGACCACTCTAGACTCCAAGCTGTACCCTGGCGCTGGAGGTAACTACATATCGGTGAGTACCCTACATGAAAAAGGTTACATTATTATTACCTTCAAGTTGGTAACCACATGATGGTGAGTACCCTACATGAAAAAGGTTACATTATTATTACCTTCAAGTTGGTAACCACATGATGGTGAGTACCCTACATGAAAAAGGTTACATTATTATTACCTTCAAGTTGGTAACCACATGATGGTGAGTACCCTACATGAAAAAGGTTACATTATTATTACTTTCAAGTTGGTAACCACATATTGGTGAGTACCCTACATGGAAAATAATATTGTTCCTACATATCAAATTCATATCGCTGAGTACCCTTCGTCAAAAGGGTTGCTTTATTATTCCCTTCATGTTGGCAACCGCATATCGGCGAGTACCCAGCATGGAAAAAGTTTGCTTGATGTATTGGATTTTAGATTTTGCCGTTAAAGCGGTTAGGTTCAATATTGTGTACACTGCATTCACCTCATGAAACAGTAGCGACTAGTTTATTGTGCTTCCCCGTATCCATCCTGTGGATAGAGAGATAAGATAGCAAACGTTTCGGTCCCAAGACCGAAACTTTTTCTAAAAAAAATATATCCTAGTGTTTACTCACGTATCATTCAAAACCACTGTGCAATTCTAACGTCGAAAATGTAACGTCGCAAGTCTAACAGTCTAAGGACAAACCTCCGGTAGTGCAGTGGAAAATCCACTGGCTCAATCCAATTTTTTTATTGAATACTTTCAGACTGAATTATTAACAAAGACTTTCCGATTATTTATGGTTGAGATACGAGAAGGATGATCTTTTCAGTTTCTCCAAAATGATTGCATTTTGAGACCTTGGCAAATTACATTTTTTTAATCTTCCGGCAACCTCGAATACAGTGGTAAATAAAAAATAACCATCATTACATTGACTCATGACTCACGAAATCGTAATGACACGATTGCAAACAAACCATACCACGGGCGGGGTTAGAACCCGCGATCAGTCAGTCAGTCAGTCCAAACCGACGTAACCAAACCCCCGGCTGGGATTGAACCCGCGGTCATAGAGTCTCAAAACTCCAATCGTGTCATTACGATTTCTTGAGTCAGACCAACGTGTTAGCCGGTGGCCCAGTGGCTATCGCGTCGCTCTGGACTGACTGACCGCGGGTTCTAACCCCGCCCGTGGTATGGTATACTGTATCTCATGGCATGACAAGTAAAAATATCTGAACTATGGTCTATATTTTCCCAAAGATGTGCCACCTCAGTTTTATTGATAAAACAATAGGCATAACCTTTAGAAATCGACATTTTCAACTGTTCATGGTAGCAGTTACACATCTACGAGTAACCAATGTTCAATTTTTTTTATTTGTCAAAGTTTAGTCTCTCGCCCTGACTCTCTTTGGTGCTCAGAAATTTCTTTCTTCAGTTGTTATTACTCTTACCGTCACCTCAGCTTATGTCTCTAGCTTGATGCAGACTTTATGGCAGTTCTGTGTTAAAGGATTTTGCACAGTTGGACGAAGTATTTGAGATGGAGGCTCTGAGATGTTATGTTGCTCTGCTTCCTATTGTATTTTTATTAATGTATTTTGTCGTTATATAAAGTTTGCATAGAATATAGAATATACGAGGTGGTAGGAGAAGAAAATATTCAAACAGCTCCGGGGCGAATCTCGAATTTTCCCTGAAGTAATTTTTTATTCTTTTCTCTGAGGATGAGGGTCCCCAGGACAGTTCTAGAGGTGGTACCTCCCTATATATATATATATATATATATATATATATATATATATATATATATATATATATATAAAATAATATATATTATATAAAATATATATACATACTGTATATATATTATATATTAAATATATGCAAAACAACCACTCTGAAAGAATAGAGAAATTCCAAGCTTTCGTGACTACTCACATTATCAAGGAACTATGAAAGTAAAGCATCCAAGTAAGGTATATAAGGGGGTCCGGCCAACACCTCACTATCAGATCCACAACGGTTAAAACCTGACGCGCCGCCGCCCAACTGGACAGGTCCTTTGCACAACCACCAACAAACTATTCTACCCAAGAAAATTTTTAAAATTATTATTGTCCAGTGTATTATTAAAGTCTTCCCAAATTCTATTAATTATAAATGGATCTAATTTATATAAACCAAAGGAAATATTCATATTATTGTCAAAACTGCTTTTTTATGAAACAAAATTCAATTATATTCCTGTCGACCATGGACTTGCTTGATACTACTTTCTCAACTTTTTGAAAATCAATTGGATGGTTAAAATCTCTTACATGAATAAATAGAGCATTGGAATCTTGTCCAGTTCTAATGCTATGTTTATGTTGTTTTAATCTTAGTTCGAGATTTTTACCAACATAAATATAGCATTAGTACTGGAAAAGATTCCAATGCTCTATTTATTCATGTAAGAGATTTTAACCATCCAATTGATTTTCAAAAAGTTGAGAAAGTAGTATCAAGCAAGTCCATGGTCGACAGGGAAATATAATTGAATCTTGTTTCATAAAAAGCAGTTTTAACAATAATATGAATATTTCCTTTGGTTTATATAAATTAGATCCATTTATAATTAATAGAATTTGGGAAGAATTTAATAATACACTGGAAAAATAATAATTTTAAAAATTTTCTTGGATAGAATAGTTTGTTGGTGGTTGTGCAAAGGACCTGTCCAGTTGGGCCGGCGCGCGTCAGGTGTTTAAAACCCTTGTGGGATCTGATAGTGAGGTGTTGGCCGGACCCCCTTATATACCTTCCTTGGATGCTTTACTTTCATAGTTCCTTGATAATGTGAGTAGTCACGAAAGCGCTTGGAATTTCTCTATTCTTTCAGAGTGGTTGTTTTGCATATTTTGAAATCACCTGTTTTACTGTGATCTTATTGCATATAAATATATATATATATATATATAATATATATAATATATATATATATATATATATATATATATATTAAATATATATATATATATAATTATATATATATATATTATATATTATATAAAATAAGTTATATATATATATATATATAAAATAAATATATATTATATAATATATAAAATATATATATATATAATAATATATATATAATATATATAACATTTAAATTTTTTTTTAAAAAACCCCCCTTTTTAAAAAAAAAAAATTTTAAAAAAAAATTTTTTTTTTTAAAAATTTTTTTTTTTTTAAAAATTTAAAAAAGGGGAATTTTTTTTTTTTAAAAAAAAATTTTTTTCCCAAAAATTTTTAAAATTTTATTTTTTTTTAAATTTTTTTTTTAAAAATTTATTTTTAAAATTTTTTAATTTTATAAAAAAAAATTTTTTTTTTTAAAATTTTTTTTTTTAAAAAATTTTTTTTTAAAAAACCCCAAAAATTTTTTTTTTTAAATTTTTAAAAAATTTTTTTTTAAAAAAAATTTTTAATAAAAAAAATTAAAAATTTTTTTTTTAATTTTTTTTTTTTTTTTTTTAAAAGGGGTTTTTAAAACCCAAAAAAAAAAAAAACCCCCCTTTTAATTTTTCGGGAAAGGGTTTTTAAAAAAAAATTTTTTTAAAAAAAAAAAAAAAGGGGGCCGGTAAAAAAAAAAAAATTTTTTTTTTTCCCTTTTAAAATTTTCCTTTTTTTTAAAAACCAAAAAATTTAAAAAAGGGGGAAATTTTTTTTAAAAAAAAAAAAAAGGGGGGGGGGGGGTTTTTTTTAAAAAACCCCCCGGGGGGGGCCCCCCCCCGGGGGGTTTTCCCCCCAAAAATTTTTTTTTTCCCCCTTTTTTTTTTTCCCCCCCTTTACCCCAATTTTTTTTGGGTTAAAAAAAGGGTTTTAAACCCCTTTTTTCCCTTTTTTTTTTTAAAAACCCCTTTTTAAAATTTTTTTTAAAAAAAAATTTTTTTAAATTTATTTTTTTTTTTTTTTTAAAAAAAAAAACCCCCAAATAAAAAATTTTTAAAAAAAAAATTTTTTAATTTTTTTAAAAATTTTTTTTTTCCCCCCAAAAAAAAATTTTTTTTTTTTTAAAATTTTTTTAAAATTTTTTAAATTTTTTTTTTTTAAAAAAAAATATTTTTTTTTTCCCCCAAAAAAAATTTTAAATTTTTTTTTTTAAATTTTTTTAAAAAAAAAAAATTTTTTTTTTAAAAAAAAATTTTTTTTTTTTTTTTTTTTTAAAAATTTTTAAATTTTTAAAAAAAAAATTTTTAAAAAAGGGTTTTTAAAAAAATTTTAATTTTTTTTTAAAAAATTTTTAAAAAAAATTTTTTTTAAAAAAAATTTTTTTTTTTAAAAAATTTTAAAATTTTTTTTTAAAAAAAAAATTTTTTAAAAAATTTTTTTTAAAAAAAATTTAAAAAATTTTTTAAAATTTAAATTTTTTAAAAAAAAAAAAAAAATTTTGGTTTTTAAAAATAAAAAAAAATTTTTTAAAAAATTTAAAAAAAATTTTTTTAATTAAAAAAATTTTAAATTATATTTTTTTAAAAAAAAAAAAACCCCCCTTTTTTAAAAAAAATTTTTTTTTTTTTTTGAAAAAACCTTAATTTTTAATTTAAAATTTAAAAAAAAAAATTTTAAAAAAAAAAAAAATTTTTTTAATTTTTAAATTTTTTTTTTTTTTAAAAAAAAAAAAATTTTTTTAAAAATTTTAAAATTTTTTAAATTTTTTAAAAAATTAAAAAAAAAAATTAAAAAAAATTTTTTAAATTTTTTTTAAAAAAAGGGGGGAAAAAAAAATTTTAAAATTTTAAAAAATTTTTTTTTTTCCCCAAAATTCCCTTCCCCCCCCAAAAAAAAAAGGAAAAAAAAAAAAAAATTTTTTTTAATTTTTTTCCTCCCCCCCCCCCAAAACCCCTTTTTCCCAAACCCCCAAAAACTTTTCCCCTTTTTAAAAAAAAAAAATTTTTCCCCCCCTTTTTTTCCCCCCCCCCTTTTAAATTTTTTTTCCCCTTTTTTTGGAAAAAACCCCCCCTTTTTTTTCCCTTTTTAAACCC